TTTAATTACCCAAGTTTGAGGTCCACAGTAACTGAAAGTTTGCAATCAAACCCTAAATATTGTCACGGTCAGAGAAACGACAATAATAAAAAAAACGATAATAATAGTAATGACAATGACAATAATAATAATTTAATTTTAAAACATGAAATAAAGCATTCATGCAATTTTCATTTATTATAAGATTATAATTAGCTTAGTGACGTTAATCAGAAGAAATGTATGTATGAATGTTCAAACAAATAAGTAAACTAATGTGATTTCAAGTTGTTTAAACAGAATGAATGATTTTAAACATTTATCATTCTTATCGGTATATCATCAGATTATGATAGTTGAAAATATGCTATAATACATGAGAACAAAAGATTAAAACCTGATTCCCTGCTACCAGCGATATACATTAAACTCCAATGCTTAAATAATATGAAAAATTCAAAAAATTTCAAAAATTTGGAAATTTACTAACAAGCTATTTATTAAATTATAATTTCCATGCGCTTCTGTTTACATAAGCAAACGTTGCTGCTTAATTAATCTTTATTCCATTCAATCGAAATATTAGTAATAGTAAATTATATAAGGTTGTTTTTTTTGCATCGTCAATTATTTGTATTAATTTACAAATTAATTATAGTCATATATCTGTCAATTTAATTTTATTACTGTGAAAATAATAGAGTTAGATGTTAATGTAACTGATTTAATAATTACAAAGAAAAAAAAAGTTCTTTAGAGTAAAAAGGTCAAATAGCAATCATTTTAACATTTTCATTGGTATAAACATTGATTTACTTCATACAAATACATCACAAATTTTTATAATAAATCAAATAGAATAATGCACTGATGAGTGGTTTTACTAACAATCATTTTACTCTTACGCTGCAATTTTAATTTAGACTTACAATTTCAGATTAAAGTACCTTCTGATAACTCCAATATTCCGGTAGAAAGGAGAGAAGTGAATTATACAATGATAACATTACTTACAAAACCCCATTAGTAATTATAACATTTACGGTCTTATATGGCTGAATACAACAAACGAATTGTCCATCCGTTGGTCGCATTGAATTTGCTAATTTGCTTGAAAGTCAGCACGACAGAAATTCAAAAAGCAAAATTGACCGGTGTGAACTTTCTTGTGTCACGCACACAACATTAAATAATAAATATCAAATATTCAGAGAAGTATTTAAAAAATAAACATTGGAAGAATAGAGAGATAAGATAAAAGAGAGAGATAGAGAGATGCTATTTAGAGATTGGTTATTTGATGCTTTATTTGACGCCTCATTCATTTATGCCAATATTTGCATAAAAGTTGAATTAAATTTAAGTTTACACTTCGTCAGTTTCGATTCAAATGTATTCTCGAATATGCCTCATTTACATGCCTTATCTTTCTTGCTATTAGCTGGAAAATCAATCGCTAGCAGTCTTTTATACGATTTTTACAGACTACGCGTTAAGCGGCAATTGCATGACCTCTCGATAGATCCAGTTATTCCGTCTCGGGATAGAAGATACGGAAGAAGATATTTCACGGATGATGAGTATCTTTCTGCTCTCAAACGATATTGGGGTAAATATTTCAACATGTTTGGTCTTAGAGGTTGGCAATCAAAGATTATTCTGTGAAATTATATTTTCTGTAGCTAAAATGTGTAAAAATAAAAATGCTTGAGAAAATGTCCTTTTTCAATTATTAGAAATCTTTTCATCATTTCTATTCTATCAATATTAAAGTTTTAATTCATAACACTTTCTTCTTTTTTTGTTAGCCTTTATTCATGATCATTTAATTTTTCATATTTTGACTCAAAATTAGTAGAAGTAGTCAAAGGAAGTCTAGTTGTTAAATTTACTAATTCTTCATAAATTGATTGACTATTAATTGTAATGCAATTTCATATCAGTAACATCTGAGAGATAATTTCAAAAATTGCTTATAACTTCAAAAAATTGACAATTTAGCTTTGCTAAAAATTATAAAAGTATTTGATATTTTTTTTATTGCTTTGGTTTGGCGTTAAAAATCTTTCTCTGATATAATTATTTGAAAAATGTTGCTAAATTTTATTGTAAAAGGTAACATTTTGTATAATGTCAAATATTTGTGTGCTAAATTATTATTAATAAAACAATCATTGCTAAAATTTATTGGAAAATTACTTTTCCAAGGTCTAAATGTGTGCTTATAAATTCAGCAGAGTATAACGGTGTTTCCTTCGATTGGGATGGCATTGTTTTTGGTTTTTTGTAGCGCTACTGATACTATCAACATTCAAATTTTTCTTTTATTTGTAATTTTTCTAAAGCAATTTTGAGTCATTAATAATAAGCTATTGATTTGTTGTGTTTACTCACTAAATTTTAATGTAAATTGTACTACCATGAATCATATATTTATGGATTCATCAATAAAATGCAAATGAAGATGACATAATTCGAAGTTTTATTTTGATATTCAACAATTAGTGAGATAATGCAATAATGTAAAGATAATGGATGGAATGGAAATTGAAGTATTATCAAAGATTTATAAAGTTTGAATTTTGATACAAAAAATGAATAAAATTAACTAATTTTGCTAGAATTTAATTGTAATTTCTTTTTCTCATTAAAAATGAAAGACCGAATTTTTTTGCATTATTTCTTTTTTTCTTCAGAAGGACAAAAATAGTTGTGAGCGAATAAGTGAGCAAAGCTAATTATTTAGCGCTATTATTTGCTTTCTTTTTTTCCAGCGGAATTAAAAAAGACAGAAATTCCTTCAATTACGCAGGAAAAAGAAAATGAATACAAAAAAATTTGATTAAATTATTAAAACAACCTGTGTATAATCAGCAATTCAATTTTATTAATTTTCTAAAATTTAATCGTTTTTTCGATTATTTTTCTTATCCCAACTATACGTATAGATATACAGTAAAAAATTCAATCTCTGTTTTCAATTAATTTGCTTCAAATGTAATCAGCTTCTTTTAAAAATTTGCAAAAATTTGACTTTTTTGTGTATTTTTATTGCTTCTTTCTTTGCAATTTGCGTAATTTTATTTGATTCATATTTTGAAAATTATCGATTAAAGTTAAAAGTATACCCTTTAATTAGGAATAGGCCAAAATTATTTTTTACTTTTTCTTTTTTATGAATGAATGTAAACAAATTGTAATCATAAATTTCATTGATTCATTGTTTTTCTTGTTTGAGTACGTTGTATATTTGCTTTTAACAAAGATGAATCTTTTGCCATCATTTCCTCTAAATCTTCTGCTGTTTTATCTGAAATTTGTTTTATCGTTTTAATACCGTTGAAGAAAATCTTATAATTTTATAGCAAGTTAAGGATTAAAGTTTTACATAATTTTTGAAATGTATTTAAAAAAAAACAGCTTGCAAATAATCGAGAAAGTGAAATAGAAGTTACTATTACTTCGACGCATATTTAATCCTGCTGGTGGTGGTCCGTTTACTTTGATAGGATCCGATGCAAAAAATTCTTCAGCATGCTCGTATTCCGGTCGTCTTTTTCGATGTTTTAACTGAAGTTATACACCGAATGATTGTAAATAATTTAGAAAATTTTACAAATTCCTCCAACAGAAAAATATTTTGGAAATATTTACAAAGATATATCAATAAATTAGAATGAAACACACAGCTTTCGTTATATTTAAGTGGAAATTTTTGATTACTTTCTTTGTTTGATTGCTAGCAATTTATCGTTTTTTTTTTGATATTTTTCTTCTATTCGAAAGATTGCAGATATGAAAATTAAAGCAAACCACATATTGAACTTGTAAATCAGATTCCCAATCATATCGATCATCGTAGCTCACATCAATCCTTTTGATTAATTTAAGAAAACATTTGTGAATCATCGTATAATCCGGACGATTATAGCAATTTAAATTTCGTAAATGTGATACTATCGGATGCAGTTCTTCTATAAAATGATATTTTATGCAAATAAATATTAAGATATTTTTGAAAAGGTTCGTTTGGTTATTTTTATGCCTAAAATCTTCAATCAATTTTTTCTTCTCTGAACTTATTAAAAAATTTAATTTAAAATTATCTTAACATAAATTTTTTCGCAAACATATTCCCATTAAGCGAGACATTTTTTTGAAAATTAAGAAAAAAATTGAAATCTTAATTCATTTATTTTTTTTTCAAATTCTCTTTTAAATTATTAGTACAAAGACTTTCAAATTCTTTCAACTTTTTTTTTTACATTCCCCTTATGAATCTATAAATTCCAGTCAGAATCTCTTCAAATTCTCGACAACATTTCACGTCTTTTAATTAATTGGATGAAAATGTTATGCTAACCTGGAAAGTGACACAATAAATCTTTATCGCTGATATTCATTTTTTTAATTTCCAATCGCTCTTTATCTCTTTCATGCTGCCACGGTAAACCGCAGTGCATTTCGATGAGTAAATAAATTAGTGACCAAATATCATCCTTGCGTCCCTACAATTTACCACATTTTGTGCTTCTCATGTTATTCCTAAAGCCTTTGACACAAATTCATTTTGAATATTTTAACAACAAAGCTTGATATTTTGCAAGTGTTATTATTATCGTGCTTGTTTGTCAATTCAGCATTAAATTATAGCTAGCAGAAAAATGAAAAAAATTACACAATTTTATGAAAAACAAAATGACTTAATAATGGAAAGTACTGAAAGTTAATAAGTAAAGATTAATAAATAAATATTTTAGTGTAACTTTTACGCATAAAATTTATCGATTGATTGAAAATTTTATTTCTTGTTTTGACCTGTTCTTTCTTTTCGTGAACTGACGGTGAACAATAACGCATTGTACCACGGAATTCCGCCGAACGTCGAGCTCTCCGTGCTATCCAATGACCTTTGCTCTTTTCAAAAGCATAATTACTAGAAATTTTGCTTATGAATTTATTGTGTAAATATTTTCCTTTTTTATTTTTTTCCTTTGACAGAGCATAAATTTAAGGCTTTTTAAAGCAATTTTTCCTTAAAAATTAGTTTACTAAAAAAATTTACATCGCACATTCTATGTACAGCAAACTTACAATAGTTATATCGATTACAATTTCTCTTTCTTATAAATATGAAAACAATTTCATATTAATTTACGTTATTGCTTTTGAAAAGACAAAAAATATCAGTAATACCGAGATCACGCAGATATTTGGTCTCTCTAATACAAATAGCATTTAATGAGCAAGATGATCGATTAATTTACTTGGCTCAAATGGTTTCATTTTAATTTTTTCTCGTCGTCAATTATTCGAACTTTCTCATAAATCTCATTTATTTTTCTTTTTCATTAAAATTTAGAAATTAAGAAAAAAATTTCTTTGTTGCTTTAGAAAGGAAAAATCACCGTGCTAATCCAAAATCCAAAATATGAACACAACGCGCTTGTTCCACGTCACTTTCATGTCCCATCACGAAATTAGCTGGTTTAATATCACGATGTACGAAACCGATATCGTGCAATAATTTAATGCTGTATAAACATTGAACACCAATACGAGACCACGTTTCCACCGATAGGTATTCTTCCGGGCAACTTATCTTAATTTTTATTATCACTTTGGTGGTAAATTCTAGTTTGACAGAAAAAAAAAACAGTTTCAGGCGAAGAAGTTCAGACATTGCAAATGAAAAAAAATTGAATAGTTGGTTGAAAGAGTGCAATTTTGGAATTATTGATAATTTCTAATTGAATTTTTTTTTTTGTTAGTGAGAAAGATTTCAAAATATTAGCAGAAATTTCATTTATAAATAAAAGTAGAGCGACAGGACTAGTTGTTGAATTTTGATTATTTCAATCTTTCGTTTTGACAAATTTTGGAATGGATAAACTGGTAATTTTTTGAAATTGAAATATAACTAATTCATCAAACTAATTAATTACAAGAATCGTTTACCTCAGCGGAATTAAAAGTAAATGAATAAAATATAATTACTTTCAATGTTCGGAGATTTTCACCGAGTAATGTAATAATCATATACGAAAACTTTTTGTGTTTTGCTGCATGAAATAATTTCACAACATGCGGTTTATCACCATCACGGTTTAGAAAATTTATTATCATAATCTGAATATTTTAAATTCAAGAAGTCTAATAAGTTGATGCAAAATTATCACTTTAGGAATTACATCTCATGAGTAAGGATTTGTAATTCAATAAACACCATTGCTATAACTTAAGAAGCGCAAATTAAAAAATAAAAAATCTTTCGATTATAACTTGACATTATCATCCAAAAAATCAATAACTTTCTTTTTTAAATATAATAAAATTCCATACTAAAGTTTTTGCTTTTTCTTAATGTTTTTACAAGATGTAATTATTTGAAAGTTGATTGAAACTTTTGAACTTCAAGTTTGATTGCTGATCCTCCTTCGATATCATTCGGTTCAGCTTTTAACGCAGCGTAACGACCACGTTCTTGAATATGCTCTACACGATATACTTGTCCAAAGCCGCCTTCATCTAATTTATTTTTTATCCGCCATTTACCAAATCTTAATTTGTCTCCCTGATTAATTCATTCACTCATCGATCACTTCAATATTAGTTTTTTTTTTCTTGCGCTAAATAATTAGCAAAGATTATTAAAATTTTTGCTACCTTTCCATCAAATGATTCTTTTAGAGAGTACAACGTGAGGGAAGATAAATAATAAGCAATGTAATTAATTTAATTAGTTTTATAGTTAAACCTCCGCCCCGGTTTGAAATTGGTCCATGGTGAATGTTCGCTTTCAGTTGCCGCTTCAACGCTCTTCATTGCATATCTTTATGCAAAATTAGAATACAGTGGGCAATGAAAGATTTAAAGATAGACGTATTGCTAACAAATTTGAAACTACTATTTTCTATCAGGTAAAAAAATTAAGCATTTAATTGGATATTTGTAATCATTCATTTGCCATTCTTGTTTGTTTATATTTATTATATGAAAAAATTCAACTGAGTAACTTTTCCAAATAAATTTGCTCAACAAAAATAATACGAAATAAGAAATGAATGAAGATTAAATAAATTTTTTTCATAATTTTTTCAGTTCATACTTCACGTTGAAATTTGAAATATTATTGAAGAACGAGATATTCTTTAACTCTTACTCAAAAAACTGTTCATAATTTTTTTTTGTTCCAATCTTAAATGCTACATCAAAGATCATAAGTCTTGATTACTTGAATAGAAGAATTCATATTTTTATGTGAAAATTTTAAGTCATTAATCTTTTTCACCAGTACCTGTCACTTTAAATGTGAAAAAATCCTTATTCTTTTAGTTACTATAATAATATTGGCACACAAAACCACACGTGTATCCGTTACTTATAAACAATAATAAGAACATACAAACTACTATTTGTTTTTATAGTAAAATACAATTTGCATATCATTATAAGAGACGTCTTTGTGCAGATTTTTCAGAGTTATTTCGCAAAATATTGAAAACAAAACTAACTTTTACTTTACATAAAATCAATTTTTGTTGCATACTTCAAATGACCTTTTAGAATCGTGCAAAGTTTGCACATGAGATGATTTTTTTAATATTATATCATATTTAATTTTATGATTCAATTCATCGTTTTGAAAATTTCTGGTCGTTTGTCTGGAAAACTGACAAATGTCTGTTCGATTGCAGCAGTGCATAGAGCGGAAATGTCGCAACTCTTCATTTCAGCGACTTCAATGGTACTCTTTTCTTCTCTATCATGGATTATTTTCTAAATGGGTATAAAATGTGAACAAAAAGTGCATATTATTAACTCAATTCAATTTTTATTACTTTATTTATATTATTCGAATTCATATTAAATTTATCTAGCAAAAAAATTTTTGTATTGTTAGATATTTTGTTTGTAAATTTCATCGAATATACTCTGTTTGAGAATAACAAAGAAAATACATGATAATCACAAATAAACCTGAATTTTGAATTTTTTGTATAATCAAATTCGTTCAAAACACATTGCTTATAAGAGGAAG